CAATTTAAAATGTTCTAGGTGATGCAACTGCTAAGCTTGCATGTCTTGATTTTCCCCCCCCCCCCCCAGTATGTTTTAAGGGTGGTTTTCCCACATAAAATGAACAATTCAAAACTGAGCACCTGCAAAATGAATAAGCAAAAAGAGAGCTTAACAATTCTATTTCTAATCCTTCTCAGGTAGAATTCTTAAGACATTTTGTAACAGTTAAAGAGAAAACTATTCTAGATGAAACATTTTTAAACTGACTGCTTCCTCTTAAGTTCTGCATGTATCAGTTCCTGTAGTCTTATCTGATAAGTCTTCGTGGGGTTTCTTAAGTACAAAATTTATTTTAACTTCCTGTCTTAAGCGCTGCCAACTCACTTTAGTATAAAATGTGTTTAAGCCTACTTAGAACTGTCACACACTCTAATAATGTTACTGACTTCCATTAATGTCACTTTTAAAGGCACAAGCCTTGTCCCATTCTGCCTGCAGAGACAGCCAGACAACTTTCACTCACAAATCAGTAGGACTTGCGTTTGTTTAAGCTAGAGGGGAAGTAGGGATCTTTGACTGGTTTTGTTTCCCAGAATGTGGCACATAAAAGCAATTCAGATTTTCTGAGCTGTGCAAACCACGTGCCCAGAAATGTGCCACAAAAATGGGCAAAACCTGAAAAAATTGCAGGAAAAATTGGAAATAAAACATCACACTGATTTACAGCGGAGTCTTATGGGAACATTATGGAAAGATACATGAAAGGTAGTGTCTTCTCTAAAGACTCTATGTGTTTGAGTCAAGTGGTAGAAGCACCTTGGCTCCCAGCTCCTTAATTTAATTGCTGCTTCTCATTATTCCTCCATTCATCGTTTCGTAAGTGATCAAACAGTTAAAATGAGCAGTGTTCACAACGGCAGCATTTCCTGCTTCTACGCACACAAACAATATTCTGCTCCCCTCCTTGACAGGCTGTCCAGTACTGTTTTTTGCATTACCGAGAAGAGTTTACCTGATGCCTGAAATATTCTCCAACTCTCTCAAGGCTGCCAGTCCCACAGTCTGTAGTCACCTTGCAGGAACTGATCCCTCAGGGACACTGTGCGTCTGAGCTATTTAATAAGCACAAAGTCTCCACGGTTTCTCCCGATGAAAGCGCTGGTTCGGGACCATATCTAGTTAGATGCAAGTGAGGAACTCTCAAGTTAGCTTGCTTACAGACTGCTTGCTTACAGCTCAGCACCCTTGTGCAGCCTCACCAACACTCCCCCAAAGCCAAGTAGGAAGGTGCTATTTTGGTTATGACAGCTGGACTCAGATCTATCTAACAATGTAAATGATAAATTCCCAAATGGTTCCTTATCAAATGGGTAAAAAAAAAAAAAAAAACCCCACCCACAAAAAAAAAAAATCCCCTTAAATCATCTATAGGAAAGGAAGGGGAAGAAGAATGGGTTTCATTTTCTTAGATAGTACTAAACCGTCACATGGTGTTATAAATTGTGCACTCCAAAACCCTTACGGTTCGCACTGCTATGGCTTGCTCATGAGGCCACGCTCCATGTAATTATCAGCCAAACTACATCAGTAAACTGTTCCTGATAGCGTAATAACTTGCCTTCGGCATTTTTCTTTTAAGCTCTAGACTTTTGCTTAGATTTATTTACCTTGACAATGCCGTTTAGTTACTACTTTGTAAAGTTAGATATTAGCAATGCTGGAAGAGCTAGAAACTTCACAGAACAGTCACCTCTTCACAGAAGTCTGCACAGAGTTTTGAATTGTTAGTTGGTATTATTCAACAGAAACACAATACAGCATGGTGGTGCTTAAATTCTTACTCAACTGCGATTTTACCTGAACTAAGAAGAAGGTCAAAACACAATGCAAGCTTTTCAACCTCTGAGCTAAGTTTTCTCTAAATGCTAATCCTAACTTCTTGAATGTTAATCCCTGGCCACAATTAAATGTATTTTGTGTATCTGTCCAAAGAAAATAAATGGGAGTAATTGCTTAGACTTCAAACAACTGCAGAAGCAGGTACTAACAGATACTGGATGATAAAGCTCATCACTTTTTTTTCCATCAACAAATGGAAGACTAACTGGTCAGCTCTGCTGGAATCTGCTGCAAGTACAACAATGTAGCAGCCAAAAAATTTCACAGCTGAGTCCGACAGAAACAAATATAGTAGAGGCTTTGAGCAGCTCCTCCGATAATTCCTACTGAATAGTTTTGTGTTGTAGTTTTGCTTGAGGGCTTTAATTCCTGGGTCACTGCCATTTCCGTAAACAGTATATTTTTTCTAAACAAGAAGCGTTCAACAGTGTTCGTGGCGAGTTTCACAACTGCACCTTTGACACCACACTTCAAGCAGTACTTCTGCATGTTTCTGACCTGGGTATTTCATTTTCATCTGTTTCGAAATCAGCATTCCCTTTCATGACAGAGGGTCTTTTTGAGCCTGCATTCTCTAGCAAACTTCCAAACTGAAATGGATTTATAATTGTGAATAAAAACGAAAACTGTTGACTATTTCATGTTCAATTAGATCTGTTTATCATTTTTATAATGCAATGAGAACGAATTGTCAAAACCCCTTCGAAGTAAATTGCATTACAACTACAGCATACCAAAAAATCATGTTAATGTAGCCACCACACATGCATTACAAAAAAAAAAAAAAACCCCACACACCCCAAAAAAAAAAAAACCCACAAGCAAACAAAAAAAAAAATCTATGGATACTTCCATCCATTCTCTGCGGTAAAGCAGGGACGCTGGCAGGGTGTAATTCTCCCACTGACAAATACGTTTAATGTGCTTACTGGAGGAGAGAAAAAGAGAGTTCCAAAGGACCTGAAGCTAAATGAGACTTTGGTTAGATTCAGTGCTTTTCAGAAAGCTGTAAACAATGTTCAAGCCTCTAAAAGCTCTCAGGAGCTATCAAATCACTAGCACCAACTGGTTTTGGTTTGATCCTTTATCCCAACAGATGAGACTGATGCAGGTAAGACTGAAGTCAGTTGATATGTTTCCTATCAGAAAGGCCTTCTCACGCTCTTTTATTTATCAGCAAAAACTTTTTCCACTGCCCCAACAGCCACAACATAAAGAGTCTTTTTATGGACAGAAATATGTATTAGGCCAAGTGTTGAAATGTCTATTCCAGCTACAGTCTGTTAGATAAAATCCTGAATGATTCAGGAGTGCAGTCATAGTTTAAAGAAGCAGACAATGCATTTAAGCTGTAGAACAGTGTACGTGAAGTTTGCTTTTTCTGTACAGTCCCTGTCAGTGCTAAGCCGTCATCTCAAAACAAGGTGCTGCCATTATGTGTGTCTTTTCTTGCTCTACAGCTACGCTATGCGCAAATCTGGGCTTTTTACACTTGGCTTTTTCACAAGTGCCAGAAGAATTAGGCTTGTGCAAACACCATCTGCCACATCTTACCAGAAAAGCTTCCTTCACTCTGTCCACAAAAAAGTGAAGGTGCTTCAAAGCTCCTGGGAGGTATAAAAGAGGCAGACTGGCACTGCTACTAGCCAGAGACTGCCCAAAAATACCTTAGCTGAGAATGGGGGATAGTGGGACAACCTACAGGTTATGACAATCTTCCACGTGTTTGATTTACAGATTCCTCAGGATGAGCTCTTCAGAAATCTCAAGTAATTGTACTCCTGCTGCTTCCTCAAAGAGCAAGAAGAATGGAGAAACATGACTCCTTGGAAGGGTCCAATCTGCAGGTCAGTGACCCTTGTTGGAGGGGAAACTCCAAACGCAAATTTCTTCAGTCCTTTATCTAGTTTTATCTTGACATAGACGTTTTGAAATGCAGTGTCCTTGGAAACTTAACATAATCAGCTGGGGTTAAACATGCAGCTCGCTAGTGGCTTCAATGTTGCATCATTTTGCACTAGCGGAATAACTGATTCTTGCAAGTCTTTAAAAAGGCATAGAATGAGATTTTCAAAAAGCAGTACCGCACGGGGTGTACTGTCTTTTCAGGAAAATAAATGTCACTGCATGAAAAGGTTGGCTATATCTCTTTAGAATGTGCAAGGAAAATTCTGAAGTTACATTTATTTTAAGCAACAAGAAGGAAAATAAGTTGCTTCATTATGACATTAACTTCCACAAAAAACACACTATTCAAGGGAAATGAAAAATTCATGCATAATATCCTGCATGTGAGTAGTATCCTTTCTCTATTTAAAAAAAAGAAGGAAAGGGAAATGAATTATAGTGGGATCTCTCTCTCAGAAAAAGGATCTCATTATTGGTTTTGACTTGACTTTTGACAGTAAGCTTTTTTCCGTTGTGCTGCCTACATGCAGCAGCAGCACTCTTAACCTTGCGTAAAAACACACAGCCTTTAGTTTAAGATGAGGCAAATAAATTACGTCCCCGCAACCAAAAGTGTCGTCTTCAAGCACAGCTAAAATACTGTCAGGCCACTGATTGCTACCAAAATGTTCCTGTTGCTTTAGCCCCTTCTTGCAAATCAGAGTTATTGGTCCAATAGCCTCATCTCTGATGAGGGAGTTTCTCACAGCATGCTGCAAAAAAAGACCTGAAAGTCTTATCACTTAATGGGGAAACAAGTGGTTAAAGTCAATGCTGAAGTATGTATTTAGAATGCTTCTCTGTATAAGAAAATTTGGGCAATTCCCAAATTGCACTCATTCCTAATGATTTTAACCGGTTGTTCTCAACTCTCCTGGAGTAACAGTCTCGATTTTTTTCACACTAAACCTACAGCAGCCATTCCTCAAAGCATCCCCCTCAAACTCACTGCACTTGCATATAGTCCTCAAATTCCACACGAGGTCTCAGCGTGAAAAATGGCAGGAGCGGCAGGCAGTGTTAATTTACAGAACTGCATCTCTAACATAAGGAGGAGAGAACTTTATACTGCACTTACTGACTTAGGAATGAATTCTGCCTGGAAAAGTAAGTGGGACTGGAGAGTATGCTGTCATCTTGAGGAAATGTTAAGTTTATTGCTTGATACTCACAGAATTGATTATCCCCTTAAGTGCTTGGAATCCTCCAGTGACAGGGAAGACTTGCTCTTTCGTGTCAGCAATTTTTTCAAGCTTTGGAGAGAAAATGCGTGCAAACAAGTGAATCATTTGGCAAACTAAGCTCGTCACACTGCTTTTCACCCTTAAAATGTAAATGGATGTCTAAAAAGAACTTCCATCAATTCTGCAGAGAAGCAAAATTTTGAGCTCCCTCACAGCTATGACTTGTCTAAATGGGAGGACTTACTACAACCTACTGCAGCTAACAGAATGGTATAGTGGCTAGCCATCGTGTCAAACCACCACACCAAAGAAACCTTTTAGGGCCCGTATCTTGGCAGCGGTTTCATAACTCTTTCCAGAACTACCTTCCCTGTTTGCTCTGCCTTCCATTAAAAAGCCTTCCTATGCGCCTTCTGTACTAAAGACTCTTTTGCGTACTTGCCCGTTTAAGTCACTTTCACGGTACAAGAGTAGCTACAGCCTTCGTTAAGACCTAGCGACTCTGGAAGAGCTTTCAGTCAATGAAGGACGTGGATCCTTCTTTCTTTTCCTTATCACAAGGCAGTTATGCACGCTGCTTGAAGCTTGTCTATAGCTACTCTGTTCGCACGACCTATAGCCTAATCCGGTTGCCATCTTAATGAAAGGGGTTTTTCCTGCATCCTTCCCTGCTGGCAGCTACCAGCTAGCAAGGGTATTTCCAACGGGTCTTCTCAGCGATGAAAGTGACACCCACACATTCTATTTATGTCTATGTACACTGCTTTCTGAGCCAGAGAAGACATTATACTGCCTAATGCAAGTAAAATTAATTTCTGTATTACTTAACATTAACTGTATAAAACCCTGTGACAAGGCACTGCCTTGTGAGCTAAAATAGTAACATTCTTACCTGTTCTTGTACAAAATCAAGGACGCCAACACAGTAGACTCTAGCTCCCAGATCTCTGGATTTCTTTGCCTGCCCCGGAATAGAACAGAGGAATAAGCGTTTTTTCTTTCGACAGGCAACACCCAAACTCTTCGGAATATAACATGCATTTTCACCTAGCACTCACCTCTTTCTCTGCATACAAGGGAATCTGACCATCTAGTTTGCCATCCGTCAATGCAATGATGATACTAGAAAACCTTGAGGCTCCTTGCTTCTCAATTTGCAAGTTGGCCTGAAAACAAAAAATATTTATCCAGCTTAAAAATGACACCTGAACTTTTAACCACGATGCACATCTTCAAAGTGAATACAGCATCTGAAACAACGCTCAGCCTCATCTTCGAGCCTATCTCCCGTGACAATCCTCTGCCTCCCTTTAACCCACTACTTACAAGGAAATCATTCATCGGTATTTTCCAGTCGCCAGTGAGCCCATCTCCCAAGTGCTGGGGTCACTAATCTACCAACCCTTGTAAACACTTGATTCTTTCAGGAGAGATGCTCTCTTGGTTCTCTTTAGAAGCTCGCTTGCCTTTAGATCCACCGTAAGTTTTCCTTTGCCACCCCCCAGATTTCAAATGCCAGTCAGTAGGTTCCAAGATATAAAAAGAATGGCTTAAAACCAAATACTTTTTTGAACGACAACAAACTTCTGTTCACCTAGCTTTTCAGCCCGCAGATCAATTACAAACTTGGCTCCGTAGGCATAAAGGAATAAACTGAGTTTCTGTCCATCACAGTGAAAGCTTAGATCCTCAACTTACCCCTCACCTTCAGGGCCTGAGTCCTTCAGCAAAATCGCAAAGTGTACTTTAACTGTACCTCTCAAGAAAATAAAAGCAGCTGGGAACTCCATAATTAAGATAGTCCAAAATTAAGACTGTTTGTCTCGAAAATGCTGATATGTGCAGTAAACTCTCCATAAGCACGTGCTCTAGAAGGCACTGTTAGACTCGCAGCCCTACAAGGCTATGTGTGACTATTTACCATGTGATTGGTATGCTGTGTTAGCTCTTAAATTCACAACAAAGAATCGCTCTCTACTGCGAAGGATCAAGTCAAAGAAATTCCATATGGCGATTTTCTATAATGGCTAATCTTCTGCATGGGATTTGCATAGTATCTGAGCAATCTTGGGACCACTTAGGAAACCAAAAAGATTCGAGCGTAACAGACTGAGGCACGCAATCAATCCATTTATGTTACAGGTTGCTGCTGCTGTTATCCCAAGGGTGAGAAGAGAGGGTATTTTGATGGCAAGATGATGAGTAAAACACACCTGTTTTAACCCTTCATGTATATATGTGTCACCTGCTGGCTTTACCACCTCCAAATCCTTAAGACCTTTCTTGATTTTCTCTCTGAAAACAAAAAGGTAAAAGACCGTTAGCATGACTTGAAGCGGGGCAAGGGGTTAGTTTATTGATGGAGAAAATAGTATTTGTCATAGAGGAGATCTGAAATTAAAATCTGTAAAATATAGCATTTAGCTGCGATACCATGTGGAGGCAGATTTTGTATTCACAACGGAAGCAGCACTGCGCTAACAGATATTTTAGATCTAAATAACACAATATGCCTCAGTGAGTCAAAGAGCTAGAATCAAGTAAAATGTTTCAGACGGAGCAGATATTGCAAAGAAGTGGCATAGCCTCAGTATTTAAATAGCCCAGTGGAAATTCTGTTATATTAAGTCTACTTTGCTCAATTAAACCAACTTCATTTCCAGTCATGGTGCAATTAAAAAAGAAATCCCATAGAACAGCAGCTCTACTTCTAGAGAAATCTTTTCAGGTCAATATGCAGGTATTTCATGGGGTAGGACAGAATTGCAGTAATTAGAATCTTCTCCCTTAAAAAAAAAAGTATCAATAGCAAACGCAGCATTTGCAAGACACCTCTTGTATCCAAGGAAAAGGACTAGGATTAAGGATAGCTTTTTAAATTTTTGCCTGTCACTGCCTTTCTGCGTGACCTTCTGACAAGACATCACACTTAGACAGGTCACAGTTCACTTATAATTAATCGGAGGATAAGGTTGTGCCACGATTTCTCATGGGCCTTTATGTAAATCCATCTTCGACTGCGAGATGGTCACTTAATTACGATGATACAACTGGAGAAGCTGGGAGGTAGCACAAAAGGAATTATTTCCAGTGAAATCGGTATGACCAGGGAAAAAAAGGCAGAGAGACTTTACTGAAAGAATCAAAACTGAAAGTTCTTAATTCTTATGCAAGCAAAGTTCCAGTGAAGTCCATGGAAAGTTGTGCTAGGAAAGGACAAGTAAAAACTAAGTAGGAACAAAATTTGGGCCAGAATATATAGAACACTATAACAAATATAGGTGACAAAGAGGATACCAGCAGGGGTGAGGAGAAGGAGGGAAAATACGTTGCAGGATGCGTGAAAGCTTTCCTTAGGGCAAACAAAATGAGAAAGAATGCATATGCCGCTCTGCCTGAATGCCACCCACTAGTCATTTGTTCCACTGATGGGCTTCCTCTATGTTTAGAAGCTCTGTTCCAAAGTACAATCCATAGCTGTAATAAGCTCCGGATCACAGGATCAACTGATACAATTGGGGCGGGGAGCGGAATGTGTCATTGAATATATGGAAGAGAACAAGTTATGTAAGATAATACAATCTGTTTGATCCAAATATTTTACATTCGGCATCTATAGAAACAACTTGAAACTGATTATGTATGAATGCAGATTATAAACCACATACTTTGTGCTTGCCAGAAATGAGTGGCAGCACATCACAGGCGTTAGTGTTCTGCTGCCAAGAAACAAGCAGCAACTGAAGTCCCAGTTTTCTGAAACAGACTTCATTTTGCAAAAATAGCTTTTGTACAATCAGTTCAGTTTTATTTATCTAAAATGTCTTGTGACCCGGTCACACAGAAATCTCTGGTGTTTCCAGGCCTCTGCCTACAAGGGGTTCCAGGAAAACCTTTGGCAGCACGAGCTTTTTTAGCTGCACTTAATCAGAC